TCACTGAGTATGATGGTCTCCGACTGCATCCAAGTGGCTGAAGTCATGAGTTTGTTCTTCTTTATGGCTGTGTACAAGACATAAGTTGATGTGCCCTTTTCTCTCTCTGGCCGGGCAGTAGCCGGCCAGGTCTGTGTATTAGGGACCCACCACGTTGTTGGGAACAGAAGTCAGTCATGGTGGCAGGAAGACAGCTTGGCAGATACACTGAGATAGGACAGAAGCAGTAGGGCAATGGTGGGTTTGACCCGCCCCAGTCAGTTGCTGCTGTCCTTTGGCTCCAGGCCACAGTCAGATCTCCCAAGTCTGAAATGCGCAGGGCAAGCCAGGAGGTCAGAAGTCCAGCAGGAGTTGATACTGCAGTTGTGAGTGCCGAGGCAGTCGGGAAGCAGAATCCCGCCTTCTTCAGAATTCCTCCTTCTTCTGCAAGAAACCTCAGTGGTTTCTCTTAAGGCCTTCAGCGGACTGGCTGAAGGCTGCCCACATTATGGAGGGTAACCTGCTTTACTCAGAGTCCCCTGACCTAAATGTGAGTTGCGTCTTTAAAAATACCTTCACAGAAACATCTAGACTGATGCTTGACCAAAAACAGCACCATGGTCTAGCCAAGTTGACACACAAAATTGACCATTGTACCTTCTAGAGAACATGATTGGAAAAGTAGATCATTTGTTCCCAAAAATCCACTTGGGAAGAAATCGAAGGAGATGAACCGTTTACAACCAAGGAAAAGCACAGAATAGTCATTACGTGGGAAAACACACAGCCTCCATAACAATTCAAGAAATGCTATGTAAATAACAGTATGGGAACATCCTTATTCAATACCTAAAAACTAAACACACCCCCTGGCCGCAGTGTGTCAGTGTGGAACCCATGTCTGTGTCAATGGGGCTGTGTCAGGGCCCTGACCCTTCCGGCATCGCCTTCAGAGATGTAAGCTGGCTGTCACCCCTCAGGGGTGCTGCCAACTTCTGGAATAGACTTGAAAGTTCTCAAAGCTCTCGTGACCCGGTCCCTTATGTCACAGCCCAGGAAACAGACCCGGAGGGAAGAAACTGCCATCTCCACCAGTCAGAAAAATTGGGATTCAAGCCAGCATGCTGGCTTCCTAACTGCCTGTGTCCTCCTGACGTGCCAGGACATTGCCTCAAATAACTGTGCAAAAGAGCTTCCTTTTAAACAATGGGAATCAGCATTGGCTGAATACTGGATTCCCCCGACTTGAGGACTGTCGACAGGTCCCACCCCAGAGGCTCTGAGTTCACTGGCCGGAGGTGGGGCCTGGGGTTTGAAGCTCCTTGGGTCATTGCAATGTGCAGCCAGGGCTGAGCTCTAGGGGATCTCCTGCCTTCATATCCACTCTCCTGGCCTCACGCTTCCCAGTCGAAGACCACTCCCTTGGATGGAGAATGTCAAAGTCAAGTTGGGTCCCGTCGGCAGAATCTCAGCCTTGTCGCTCTTGCTTGTTTATGGCCTCCTGTCTCTCCCGGCCCGCAGTGCAACTTGAAAGAATCCCACCTGACTCTAGCACGTCTCTTGAGTCTCCCCCCTTTAGACCTTGGCCTCCTTGGCTCATTTCAACTCTTTGGGACACGCCCTCGGGTTTCTGCTTCTCCTTCCATATTTTGTACACGTCTTTGTCAAGTCAGCTCTGCCCAAGTCTAGGGGCTTACAGGGCTGCATAGGGGGAGTCTCTCCTCAGCTGAGCTCTCGGGGAAGTGAGTGGGATGGTCAGAAAGGCCACCACCACACAGGATGGCGCCCATTCCAATGACAGCCTGTGAAGGGGAGAAGCACTGAGGTCAGTGGGAAGGGGAGAAGCCCAGGAATGCTTCCAGGAGGAGGCAGTGTTTGATCAGAGAGTGCATGGAGTTGTCTGGGTAAGAAGTGGGGGAAGGACATTCCGGGCAGCTGGAACAAAGCATAAGGATGGAGTGGACAGCTGCCAGAAGCGGGGGTCAGAGTGGGCACTTAGGCTGGGCGGGTGGGTAGGAGGCTTCTTGGGGGCCGTTTGTGGCTGGCGTCTACGAATTTTTTTTTGAGGACGAAGGGGTTTAGGTGGGAAAGTGACCAGACCGTTTCCATTCCATGGTGTTGAGGAGATGGCGATCAGAGAAGGGCAAGACCAGAGGCGAGGAAGTCTGCTGTGCCCCTTGCTTAAGTAAAGACCCCTGAGGCCGTGGGAACGAGGATGCCGAGGGCGGGATGGGGGAGGGGCTGGAGGTGGAGGTTCAGCCAGGACTGGCTGGCTGACTGGTGTACCCGGGGCCCCAGCTGGCCTTTCAGGGTCTTTGCACACATTAGAACACCGTATCCTGGGCCACGCATGGTGGCTCACGTCTATAATCCCAGAACTTTAGGAGGCTGAGGTGGGAGGATCTCTCGAGCCCAGGAGTTCGAGACCAGCCTGGGCAACACAGTGAGACCTTGTCTCTACAAGAAAAAAAAAAAAAACATTAGCTGAGTATGGTGGCATGCACCTGTAGTGGGTGGAATGGCTCGTCCTATCCAAAATGAGAATGAGTGGTTCCTAAAACGTACACCCGCCGTTCTGTCCCAGAAGCTGTCCCGGACGTCATCACATGACGTCTTAAGTTGAGACATGCCTATCCTTTTTTCATAACCTCCTGGGGACTCATTCGATAAAGAGGTACTGAGTGCCAACTTTATGCCAGGTCCACACGAGGAGAGGGATAAACTCAGACCTTATCATCTAAGCCAAATTCCTGGTGGTGGAAGGCAAATCTTCCAACAAGATGCTGTGGCCACCTTTGCTTCCCACCTTGGAGCCAGCAGTCCTGGGCAGGACTGCTGGCTCCTTCACTTCTGCAAGTCATTCAAGCCCTCCGTGTCTTAGTCTCCTTGCACGTAAAGTGGGAAGACGGAGGTTCTACCTCACAGGGTTGCTGTGAGGAGTAACCTGAGTTAGCGCATGTGATATATGTGAACGTAGCATCTAGCAGATAGTAAGCGCTCAAGTAATGTCAGTGATTCCTGCTCTTGTATTTGTTTTGTGTAATACTTCATTTCAAGATTAATGATCATGCCCTCAGCTGGTGAAAAGATACCAGAGGGTTGGGCATGGTGGCTCATGCTTGTGATCCCAGCACTTTTGGAGGCTGAGGTGGGAGGATTGCTTGAGTCCGGGAGTTTGAGGACAGCCTGGACAACACAGTGAGACCCCATCTCTTTAAAAAAGGGGGGGGCATCAATGAGATGAAAAATATTGCATGACATACTGTAACTTGAGTTTAAAAGCCAGTTACAAACAATGTGAGCTCTCAATCTCAGAAAACTATAAACATATGCATAGACAGAAGGGCTGAGGACATTTCTGAGCTGGTTTCATCTTCTCCTTCATGGTTAACCTATTTTCCAAAAATTTTTTTACATGGGCATGTAAACAGAACAAAAGTTATTTAAACATACAAAACAACAACAAAACAGACTTTAAGGATCCCGTTTGTCAGTCTTTTCTAGGCTAGAATCCAAGTTTCTTGAAGGCAAGAGTGGTGGCATGTCAGAATCTGACAAACCTCCCTTGTGTCGTGTCCGGTTCTATTTCAGGCCGGCTCGAAGACAAAGGAAGAACTAGGCCAAGCGTGTTTCCGTTTCGGACTCCTTTTCCGTCCCTGTCTCCCTTCCAAGGCGCTGGCGCAGAGGACTAAGTCCTTCCTTCTTTCAACTGGCATGTGTTGAGAGTCTCCTGGAGCCCAGGACTGTGCAAGCCCTGAGAACAAAAAGAAGTCCACCCTCGGTGGCCTGTGGCCTCACGCTGCCCCTGCTGGCCACCCACTACGATGGCTCACAGCCCAGGGGGCACCCCCATGCCCCCACCAGCCTCAGCCCTTCCCTGTTCCTGCAGGGCACACGCCTGCCTCTGTTCCAGTTTGCTCTGGATGACATAATCCCCCCACATCTGTCCTGACGTGTCCCTGTGTATCATTCGAGTCCTGGCAGAAAACAGCATTGCGCTCAAAAGGGCTTAACTAATGATAATTGAATCAAGAGAAGCTGGGAGAGATGTGGGCGGGGTTCGGGAGTCCAACCGGGCATGCCAGGGCCTCCAAGGACTGGGAACAGCCGGAAGCCATGACCACCGCTAGGCCTGAAGGGGAATTATTATTGCCGGAGTTGACTGAAGATGGTGTGATCATCTGCAGTCACAGAGTACACAGACACTGCGAGTCCCTGGCATCAAAGCTGGAGGAGTGTGAGGAATAAAGACCCAACCTCTCCCTCCACCTTCTCCTCTCCTGTCTCATCTCCTGCCAGTGCCCATTTGGCTGAACTCATGCAAGCCAGAGGGCAAGGGTACCCGGGTGACACAGTTCACCCGGCAACGTGTGACCGTCCTAGGAAAAGTTTCATGGTGGATCACAGTTAAAAGAGACACATCCTTGAGAACCTTCTAAACGAACGACATCCATTTCAGGCCTGGGTAGTCCAGTGGGGGAGATATTGTGAGTTAAGCCTTCTAAGCAATCAGCCCTCTCCTCCCTGCTCCTGGAGGTAACTGGAGGATGCTCTTCGAAAAGCTAAATGAGGCGGTGGCTCGCATCTATAACCTCAGCACTTTGGGAGGCCAAGGCAGGAGGACTGCTTGAGTCCAAGAGCTCGAGACCAGCCTGGGCCACATAGTGAGACCTGGTCTCGACATAAAACAAAAGAAATTTAGCTGGGCATGGTGGCGTGCACCCATAGTCCCAGCTACACAGGAGGCTGAGGTGGAAGGATCACCCGAGCCCAGGAGGCCAAGGCTGTGGTGAGCCGGGATGGTGCCACTGCACTCCAGTCTGGGCAACAGAGCGAGACCGCAACCCTAAAAACAAAAACAAAAGAAAGAAAGAAAAGGTGTAATGAATGCATTGAAACTTTGTAATTTTTTTCTCTTATTCTGGTTAGATTTGAAGCCAATCTAGAGGTCGAGGGGTGCCTGGTGGATTTGAGTACCCAGACTGTCTCGCCAACGCCCTTGTTTTTTATGTTCACAGTAGGCCTCAAAGGCAGAGACGGGAAGCACACGAAGATGCTCACAAGCCAGTCAGGTAAGGCCGTCCCGGTGCCCCTTCCTCCCTGCTCGGGCACCGCGGCCCCTCCCCGACTCCTCGCCGAAGACCTGGAAGCGGAGGGGTGAGGGGAAGAGAGGGCTGAAGGGAGATGGTGAGGGTTCACCGGCCCAGCTGGGAGACAGCATGGCGGCCGGGGCACTGGCTTTCCTCTCCCGGCACAGCTTCCTCCTGCGCACAGCTGCGGTGGGGTCCTGAGTCCACATTCTCCCCCTTCTTGGTCCTCCCTCAAGGACGCCTCCTCGCGGCCCAGGACTGGCAAGGGCTCTTCTGTCTGTGTGCCACTTTCTGGTTGGAAAAGTCCTTCCCACCCGTCTGGTCACAGAGCTCTACCTTTGATCAGATGGGGAAACCGAGGCTCCCGGGAAGCAGGCGAGCGGCCTCCAGGAGCACAGCAGCTGATCCCGAAGGGTGTCAGAGCCCCGTTTTTCTGTTTCCCAGACTCGTTCCCTCCGAGAGTGCTGAAGGGTTTCTCCAGGAGAGGAGACAGTGGGAGACCTAAAAGGGACCGAGTCGTGACCAGGGAGACGGCTGTGCCTGCAGAGGCTGAAACGCAGCTGGGCAGTGCTCCTCCGAGTGTTGTCTCCCGACCAGCCGTCTCGGCCGCATTTGGGACCTTGTGAGAGTCGCAGATTCTTAGGCCCCAGCCCAGGCCGCCTGTTCAGAAGCTTCAGGGGGTGTGGGAGTTGCAGGAACCTACGTTTGAACAAGCCCTCCTGGCCAGGCACGGTGGCTTGCACCTGTAATCCCAGCACTTGGGGAGGCTGAGGTGAGAGGATGGCTTGAGCCCAGGAGTTCAAGACCAGCCTGGGCAACATAGCAAAACCTCGACTCTACAGTAAATAAATAAAATTAACCTGGTGCGGTGGTCCAGCTACTCGGGAGGCTGAGGCAGGAGGAAGGCCTGAGCCCAGGAGGTCAAGGCTGCGGTGAGCCGTGATTGTGCTGCAGTGCTCCAGCCCGGGTGACAGAGTGAGACCATGACTCAAAAAAGGGGGTTGACTAGGGGGAAGACTAAGGAGATACATCTGTATTACTTGTGTCTACAAGAAACTGGTCAGATAGACGAGAAACTGATGAGAGAAGCACGTATGAATGGGGTGGGGGTTGGATGGAGACAGAAGTGGGAGGCCGACTCTTCACAGCATTGCCTTCTTTTATTTAAAAAAAATTCTTT